CTGACAAACCCCCTCCTGCAAAAATTCCTGGATACGCCCCTGCGTATCTTACATGACAACCACTTGTTGTTTTCCTCATATCAAAATTACTATTTTATTTTTACTAGTAATTTGTGTTGGCTTTTTCCAGGTACCATATATTCGCGGTTTAACAGAATGGTGTGGTGCATGTGGTGATCCTCTTTATGACGCTCAATCCCATTTATTTGGCGGGAATTACGTCAGACGTTATACTATAACCAGACAATATAAAAAGGGTTCGCGATATATAGATGTTCGTGTGGACACCGATTTTCGCCAAGGGTTGTTCGAGTTTAGAATTTGTCCCCAAGAATATTCTAGTTTTCCAGTAACTAAAGATTGTTTTGATGCTGGTATGTTGGAGATTAAAGGTTTTGGTTATAGGTATTATGTGATGTCACCAGGGTATCATGATCTCCAGTTAGTAATACCAACATATTTCTCCTGCAATCATTGTGTATTACAGTGGAGATATTTAACAGGTAAGCAAAACATTTTACAAATCTCTCAGTACATTATGTAACACTATCCCTTGTCACAGCAGCTAAATAAGCAGAGGAAGCTATATCACGTCACTCAGGAACTTCAATATTTTGGCTTCATTATGGACTTCACGTTGTGAACTTTTTATAATCAATGAAACCCTTGGAAACCGTGTTGTTCTAAATATGGTTTTATATATCAGTAAAAAATGAAATTATATATATAGCTTTGGAATAATCTTATAATGTCTCTGAGAACTTAGCTCACAGGGGATGGGGTCTTTCGTGACTAATGATGGATACTTAAACTATGACCAAACATGGGAGTGCCAAATATTGAACGAGTTAATTTCCAGGGTCCTGTTTCACGAAATTTTAACTAAAGATAAAATCTAATTTTAGTAGATACTTCAATTTTGATTGTCTAAGCACTACAATCAGTCTAATATTATCCAATCAAATTACTAAAATTTGGATTTTATCTTAGTTAAAATTTCGTGAAACAGGCCCCAGGGCATATAATGCACCCAAAATCCCCCCACCCACACACACAATTTAACACACGAAGACAACTGTATTACAACATTATAATATTCTAAAAGTCCATTCGACACAAACTAGGTCATTTCGGTACTAACATTATTTCAATAATTCGCTTGCGTGGAGGGTTCTTTAGCAGTGGGAGGAAACCGGAGGACCCGGATAAAACCCACGAGGTTGGACAGGCGACCCTACTGTTGCTACAATAATAAATAATCTATGCCACATCTTGTCAATTCGCTCAGAATAAAGTAATTTGAATGAAATTATCAATATATTCATTTTGCATTATGTTTCAACTATTATAGCAAGAACGGCTAGCTCTTTATTAAACTCTTACAAAACGCACCTTTAAATCATCAAAAAAGCATTTATATTACAACACAAATCCAAATATATTTGTGCGGATGGGATGTTAATTTGGCCCATTGCCAGTGACCTATAAACTATCAGTCCCTGACCAATGTCGACTGTTATATTTCAGTGAATTATTCTAAAGATTGTCAAAGTTTACCTGTAAGAAGAATGTGTGTCTTACCTGAAGAATATTATAATTGTGCTGATATAGCTATAGAGGACGGCGCAGGTTCTATTTCAATAGATAAATAAACAGAATTAATTTTTAAAAATCGGCAGATCGACAAAATACTGTTTTACATGTAAACAAATGGTTGCAATAGAACATGACTAAATGTCGATAGTGTTTTTGTTTTGTTCAATATTCTCCGGGGAAATAAGTACATATTATTATGACAAATGTAATGCTAAACTGATTGTTTCGTGGAACTTTGAAGCACCGAAATTAAAGGGGGCGAATTTGTAAGTTTTGATTTTTGTCGAATATTGTAAACTAGGGATCTGAATAATACTATGTATTAATATAATGATTGTTGTGCTGTTAATATATCCAGTCTTCGTGTGTTGTGCTTCATGAAGAATGGACTTTATCCTCAAATTAATTCACATGGTTCCCAGTAGGTTTCCAGGTCCACCAGCGTTTCTTTGTTGTAAATATCGGAGGCAACACTCAACTAAAAAAGCCTAAGGCTCCGCCAATTCATGTACGATGGATATTGAACTTGACAAGCGCGTTCCTAGAACAATTGCGCATCGATTGGCAAACTTCGATTTTTGATATTACGTCACAATTCGCGCATGGCTGGAATGACGTGATATTCAAAACGCTGGTACTTGTATTTCTGTCATCTTCAATTTGTTTGCTTTACTCTTGTCTGTTTCGTTTTATTCTAGAAATGGTTCAAAAACTGATGTCTTATGTTTTGCACCAACCACAGTAGTGGATCGTTCTAAGGACTGTCTTTGATTACAAAAAGATATTGGTCTATAACGCCATTAATTTTTAATTAAAGGAGCTAAATCGCTATTCTTTGGCACCTAGAAAGGGACACAAATAGGTAGGGAGAGAGAAATGAGGTTTAACATCCACTCGACACAAACTAGGTCATTTGGGGACTAACATATGGTTCTATTTTATTTCAATACTTCCCTTGCGCGTAGGGGTCTTTAGCAGTGGGAGGAAACTGGAGGACCCAGAGAAAACCCACGAGGTTGGACAGGCAACCCTACTCCTTGTCACGTACAACCGGGGAATCGAAACCACACCAGTTGACTCAATGACAGACCTTAAGATGAAACGCATATGAAATGAAATGAAATGGAGTTTAACGTCCTACTGTTCTGCTCCTAACCTGGGCTAATGAAGACGGGCATACGCCATACAGTTTGATTAATCCCAATAATTGTCGGTGGTGTAATGGTGGACAGTGGCGCAAATATAATCGACGAAACACACGGGGACATGGACAAACCGGAATTTTATATTGGATAAAATATCTATTTGGTTAATTATTCTTACAACTCCAATATTGTGACTGGAAAAGATATAAAACCATAGCTTATTTTATAGTATTTGATAACTTTTTTATACAAACTATTTCATCCTAAGGTTTTGACTAAAAGGTTGTTTATACTGAGCGCGAACTCAAAAGCAACCACTGAACACTTCAACTTTCCGCTCGAGTCAACATTCGTACTAAATAGTGTAGATAAAATACGCCAATATGGGTATCAACCCACCACAATATTTTTTAGGTTTTTTGGTACCAACTTGTAGAGGGCCTTTCCCTGTACATCATACTTAAATCCAACTAGGATTTTGGAGGTTATCGACGTGACAATGTACCGTACAATATGTGATTAATTTCCCCGGATACCTTTGTCCCGAAGAAAATATCCATGTGCGATTCCTACAGGTGGCCTGGGTTCGTTTATTCAACTTCTCTTGTTCTCACCTTTGAGTATTTTTCGACTTCCCGCATTCTCGTGCCCACGCTTCATCACAATTTCGATTTCTCGTGTTCTCGAGAAGTTTAGATTATGAAATGGCCGCAATAGGCTTCCATAGTAAAGAATAGATCTGTAAGGTGATCCAACTCATATTCCTGAAGCAATAGCCCAAGAAAACCCTTTCTGACCATTGCTGGATTGACTTCTGATACTTGAGCTTTTGAGGGAGTGTGTCTATTCTTCCCGTTCAATCAAATCTATCCCAAGTACAGCAACATGGCAGCCCTTTGTTTAATCTGGGGTCTTCCTTAAAACTTTGGACAGCGATTTAAGGTATTAAAACGGTTTTTCTGCTATGCACTGATTAATTGGGCATAATAAAATCGTGAGTCATGACGTAATGTTATGTAAACATATTTGGTCCAATTTGGAGTTCTGTTTAAAAAGCGTAATATTGTTACGCAGTTAGTTATTGGTTGTTAATCAGACTATTGACCAGTCATAATTTGGAACCGAAATTTGCTTCCATTACAGCAATGTTAACTGGGATTAGCTCTAATCAAACGAAACACTGCGAGGAGTATCATCCAATTCTTCAGGAAGATTTTTTTTTTTTTAGCAGTCCGGAATCATTCCAAACTAATTAATACAGGTGACAAGTTGGGGTGCTTTTACGAGTCTTTCAAACTTAGGGGGGTTGGATGGCCGAATGGTTAGCGTGCGCGCGCTGGATCATAAAGTCTGTCATTTAGTCGAGTGGACGTTAAACCCCATTTCTCTCTCTCTCTCTTTCAAACTTAGGTGATGAAAATATCCAGAAATGATTGCACATCTGATTGTCTACACTACATCATGATATTTTACTATTTTCTCAAAAGAACAGGTTACAATCCAATCAAGAATATGACCAGCGTTCAAGATGAGTGAGGTAATGAATAGATAATAAATTCACTATCTTCTTCAGTTCGGGGTTTTCTGGGCAATCAAAATGAACATTAAAGTCTCCTAGGAGAATAACACGTTTAACACAAACAGAACTGGGAATATTCTTGATAAAAGTCAGACACCGAACATGATGGAGATCTATAAAAATCAACATGAGTTACTAGAAATTCTACAGATTCAAAAGACGCAAAACCCTCCTGTTGTTATACAAGCTTTTATAAATGATGACAATGCCACCACCAGTACCATGTAATCTGGGAAAGCTTTTTGAGGAGTATAAATTTGAGGTTAATTCATTCAGTTTTGAGTCATCCCCAGTCTTCTTTAACCATGATTCAGTGATTAACACAGTGTCAATTTAATTGCAACAATTTCATCTGATATTGCTCAATTCATGTCAATTTGTACAGAGGATCTCTTTTTTTTTTTGTCCCATCTGAACGACCAGGATCCAGCCTTGTCAGGTCCTACTTCCTGCACCACAGAGTCAATTTTTCTGGACCAACACCTGGAGTGAGTCCGAGACCTCATGTTTATCGAACCAGCATCAAACTCCCTGAGCCACTGCAGTTACCTAAACAGATAACAAATGTGCCTGATGAACTGACAAGCTATCGATTATTATGGCTAAATGAATTTTGTATTCCAGCATTAACTTTTATTAGAAATGGATGATTCAAATGTCATTGTTTTTATTACAAAATAATGTTTTATTCACAGGAATCTTACACATATAAACAATGTATTTACATATGTACATATATGTGTAAATTCATACAGAAAGACAATATTCCAATGGTTATAATATATAAAACAAGAATAGTAACTCTAGACAATTACCATATATACATGTAAATGAAATTAGCATAGGAATTAGCACTATTTTATGTAATGAGTATCATCTATATGAATTCTTCACTCAAACTGTCAAATGTAATTAAAATTCCCCTACTATCCCCCATGTCTATAAACAAAAAAAAAGTGTTATAACAATTTATTCTCCCCAGAATCCTAACTAAGTGATGAGTGAGACTAAAGAAGTATATTATCCTTGAGTCATAACATTTCATAGTTTTTCAGGATGATGTCATTTGATATTTATCATGAGTAATACTACTTGATAGTTATCTAGGGTGTATCATTTGATATTTAACCAGGGTGAAATCATTTAATATCTATCCAGAGTAATATTATCTGATATTTATCCAGAGTGATATCATATGATAGTTGTCCAGAGTGATATCATCTGGATACCTGCATTCAATGAATAATGATCTACGCACATTTGAACAAAATCATAAATGAGTAGCAAACAACTCCAAGTCATAGTTTTACATGACAATTATAACAGGTAAATTAATCTTGCTATGTAGGACAAGAAAAATGGCTGGCCTTCAGGTTCATGTTACTCAACATTTTAGATGTGTGGAACATTTTTATGAACATGATTATATACATATATCACAAACTTCCTTAAACATCCAAATCTGTCATCATATATTATACATCTGGTCATAACATATACACACACTAACTTAACCCTTTAGGTTCCAGACTCAAAAATGTTTATGATATCAGATTTCTTTACTATCAATTCATAAAATTGTACCTTACACAAAAGCTGTCACAGGCACAGATTTCTGCAGCATGACCACGCAAAGGTCTTCACCCACACGTTGAAACTTTGAATAGGAAGTAGATCCACTAAACACTTTGGTCACTGTTTATATATTTACATTGTCATTATTTACTATTATAACCACTTGTTGATGAGAAGTGTTTTAATAACATTTAGGGAGATGGAAGCAAATCAGGACCCATGGATTCATATTCCTTTCTATGTTTTGGTTTCACTAGAGCTTTAAAAGCAACATAGAAGACAGCTCCAAGTAATAATATAACCACAAAACCTAATGGTCTAATTCCAATTAAAATTCAGGGAGATGGAAGCAAATCAGGACCCAAAGGGTTAATGCACCTTTCTATGTCTTGGTTTTACTAAGGCATTAAAAGCCGCATAGTGTACAGCTCCAAATAATAATAGAACCACAAAACCTACGGGTCCAAGTCCACTAAAAATTCAGGGAGATGGAAGCAAAAGGGTTAATGTAGCTTTTTGTGTCTTGGTTTCACTAGGGCATTAAAAGCTGCATAGAATACAGCTCCAAATAATAATAGCACCACAAAACTTAATGGTCCAAGTCCAAACCATAAGTTCATCACTAAATATAATATTCCTAAATAAATCAAGTTCTTATATGCCGCTAGAAAACGTAAACTAAGTCTAGGTTGTCGAAGATGTTCAGCTTTGACTTTCGACACTGGTGACAAAATGACGTCTTGTTGCGATAATGGTGGCGATATATATGTCTGTATCATACGACCCAGAAAATCTGTACGATTGTATAAAATGTTGATATCTTCCGCAAACTGAAACAAAAATAAAATGATAATAACTGGATCTGAAATTATCGTATAATTTTGTACATTAAAACTAGATTCTGTGCAAAATTGCCAAATTTGAATCATACTGATCAGCCAATCAGTAATATGGTACAAAAACAAGCAGCATGCACCATGTTCTACCAATGCGCCCTTCAGAAAATTGCCATTTTTATAAAAATGTTTTCTGTATACAATATTTTGTCTGTGATATCACTACTGTGGACAGACAATTTGAATACATTTAGGATATTATATCAAAACAATGAAATATTATACTTTGGTTGGTTTTGATTATACAGTTCACATTTATAGTTATAATCATGATTCATAACAGAAAAAAGTCAACCCCCTGTAGATGTTCTACAGATCATCTAACGATTCTATAAGGAATGCTTGTCATCCGAATGTGGTTGCAGTGTAGTTAGGTTTTAAACAACTTACTTTCAATAATTAACAGAAAGATCTTATGAAATAAATTACATTTTCTCCTTTTGATCAAAGCTTCTTTATAAAATCTTTTAGTTGATAATGAATTAGTTATTTTCTTATATTAATCTTATATTACCTTTGTATTAATAATTTCACAGAAATAATAAAAGAAGCGAACCAAGGCCGCATTCTCGTAACTTTTGATTGGTTCAAGATCAGGATCTCCATAGTATAGTACATCAAATTTCTTCAAACCGTTAGCCACCTGTAAAATAAAATCCAAGTTGTCAGCATATTCAATGTCCTACAGCAATAAGACTTAACACCATTTAACAAGACTTAACAATGTGAAAGAACTATAAAATATATAATTATTGTAATTTCAAGATGATAGCAAGATGCATAATTGGCGACAAACATTTTTGCCCAGGCAGCAGAATTCAAAGCGTGATTAACTTTTTAAACATAAAACTCAACACTTTGAAGAAGTATTAGCAAGGAAGCAGTGTTCTTAGAGATTTAATCCTTCTTAATCTATCAATAATTTATCAATACTGCATTCTGATGGTTGAACACAATAGAAAAGTTTCTTGGAAATGAAAGACAGTTCTATGAGGTATGCTAACTCCAAGATAAACAGCTATATAAAAGAGGGAGAGAGGTATAAAACAAAACCGTCTTCCACACACTATTATGATTATCTAATATAATGTTTATCAGCCTGAGAGAGGACAAATCAACTGAATAATAAATTACCTTGCTGTAGTCCATGTTTACAATAAAACTGGATTCAATATATAGCGGGTGTAAGCATTATAGTGAGGTCCTTGTGTATAACATAAATACAGTGGAGTTACAAGACCCTATTGTAATTAAAGAGTTACTAGTCTCAATCATTTAGTCTTTAAAAATATTTGTACCACTCGTCTTAATCTTATATCATCTTTGGAGATTGTGAATAAAGATAAGCCATCTCCTCTATCATATGATTTTAAGTTGTACATACTGATCGATATACCAGTACTTTACAACTACTGGTGGAATTAGTAATTTCCATGTTGTTCAGGCCACACACTGCCTTCACTTTTTATGATAATTTTACAAATCATAAAGTAATAATGTAGCTGCAGTTGGAATTTGCATATTACACTATTAATATAAATAAATCAGGGCCCATATTCACGAAAACTTAAACTAAGATACAATCAAAATTTTAAGAAATACTGCAATTCGATTGGCTGACCAGTAAAATCAATTTGCATATATCCAATGAAGTTGCAGTATTTCTTACAATTTTGGTTGTAACTTAGTTTAAGTTTTCGTGAATAAGGGCCCTGTATGACTGAGGCTTAATTTACCTCCAACACATGAAACACATTACAGGGAGGTAATTGTAACATACCTGATATCTTCCAAGTGGTGTTAATTCTGGACCCGTTTCTGTGTCTATATGATCTGGTACTGTAGATTCACCTATTATAGAACTATCATGATTTGACATATCTGTTGGCATTGCTTGATCTTGTGCTTCTAATGGTACTGGCATCTAAAAAGAACACAACATTGGATTACACTCATTACACAAAATAATCTGTTCAGTATTCACAGTAAACTTTATTTCCTGATAAAATCCATCTGCTATTGTGCTATTTCACCAGTGTTTAAAATTCACATTGGTCCGTAGCCAACATATAACTGGCAGGGCCGACATTTTTTTCTTTTGGGTGGTGATGGGTCAATCCTGCAAGTCGAGTGTACGTTTGTAAATATTTGTTGGCCCTACCAGTTAATGTTAGGGCCTAAAACTTTTATGGATGGCGTCTTCCAGTAGGTTCTGTTGGCTTCTAACTTTTGTTGCCTAATATTAAACATTGCATTACACCAATTGATCACTTTTAATAACCTTTTTTGGATCAATGCTATTATCTTTCTATAATAACTACCTTAAACACTGTACAAATATTTCTAACAGAAGCATTTAATAACATTTGTTGTTTTTTAATTTCTTCGGGACTAGTATGGCCGTATGGCACATCTTCAGCAAAGAAACTGGCTAACCAAGAGAAGAAACCTCTATTTTTATTTTTCTGTAATATATCTGGTCGTTTTGTAGCAGCTAATTTAGCATCCATCATCTGGTCTAGAACAGCATTGGACTACAAAAAAAAATAAATAAATGATTCAAAGACATATATATCAGAGGAACTACAGATGTTTTAGATCAGAAACATTACTTTAAAGACACATCAGTGCTTTAGATGCTGTACTCTGTTATTAAAAATATATAGTTTTTTGTTTAATATGATTTGACAGTACGGGGGATATTCAGATGAGATTGAAAGCAAAACTTGAGACAAATATTTCGAACAATTTGGAAAGGGCTACACACTTTATTTTTCTGGTAATGAATGAGTGATTTTCAGGTTGTTTAATTTTAACAAGTACTTGTGAAAATAATTAAACAAACTTTACATTATTCACACCATTCCACCGCCAGAGAAAGAGAAAGTAATGAAGTTTATGACCACTTGACACAAACTTGGTCATTTGCTAGTGTGTAAAGGTCTTTAGCAGTAGGAGGAAACTGGAAAAAACCCACAAGGTTGGACAGGTAACTCTACTCCTTGTCAGTTGTCACATTCATGCGGGGAATCGAAACCACACCACTTGTGTCAATCACATCCCTTTAACCCCTTCAGTCACCCAACTCCCCCCTTCTTCTTACCATGCTCTGTGTTCTGTATCCAAATAATGGTATGTATTGAAAACCTGGTGATTCTAATTCTACTAGTTGTGATGGTAATGATGACATGCCATCTGACATCGATAGATAACTGGCACCAAGATCTGCCGTCATTGATAAATATGGATTTTTAGTTGACAGGAAAGATGATCCACACATTTTCTTCTCAGCTAAAATACATAGAACATAAAAAAATGTTCCAAATTTGCTGCTTTTTTTTAGGTGGCCGTGTAACAGAGCAACATTACTTGAATAAATAAGCTCCACCTACCAGTATTCAAAATCCCTACCAAATTTTACTGAAATCCAACACTGGTGCACGGAGTACCTGGCAAGGGGAGAGAGAGAACGAAATGGGGTTTAACGTCCACTCGACACAAACTATGTCATTTCGGGACTAACAAATGGTTCAATTCTATTTCAATAATTCACTTGCCCGTAGGGGTCCTTAGCAATGGGAGGAAACCAGAGGACCCGGAGAAAACCCACGAGGTTGGACAGGCAACCCTACTCCTTGTCATGTACAACCGGGAATCGAAACCCCGTCAGTTGACAGACCTTATGATATACAGCGAGCATGTGCTAACCATTCGGCCATCCAACCCTCTTGCCTGGCAAGGGACAACGTATAGTCTTTATGATGGGACAAAAAACAAGGTCCTGTACTTATTGGCATGCACTAAAAAAACCCTTGACATTTGGAATTCGAAATAAGAGTAGGCTGTAGTGCCACTGTTAAGTTAAAACTTCCCTCATAGCACACTGTATGGCGTATACCCGTCTTCATTAGCCCAATCTGTGCTGAACAGTAGGACGTTAAAGTCATTAAACCCCATTTCATTCATACAATGAAAACAATTAAACATACATTATGCAAGAGCTAAATCTGCCTATTGCAGGTCTTTCTTTAGGCCTGAAATGTTATCTAAATTATTAATTAGACATTAATTAACTTATCCAGACCATAATCAACTCTCGATGTCAACGCTAGCCTGCTATATTTTCTGGATTGGGATCCCATTTGCTGCTCAACTTTCATTCATGATTTAATCATGAAATGGATAATCGAATCTATGTTTTTTATCGTACCAACTTTAGTAACGATGATCAAGGCTAGGCCGAAAATTCAATCACTGAAATCTTGGTTCAGAGTGGATCAATTTGACTGAAATTTTTTCAGAAAATTCCCTTTACATGATCTACTAGTTTTTAACTATTATAGTGAGAACTAACAGCTCTTTTTCTAATCTCCCGTAATGTATCTTTGGAATGTATGAATGGAACTCACCTCTTTCAATAAGAACTGATAAATTAGCTTTGCTAAATACCTAAAAAAAAAAAAAAAAAAAAAAAAAAATGAATTTTATAAAGACACATACTAACAATTTTTTTATCATTACAAATAGAATGTACTAAATAAAGAATACATTATTTAAAAAAAATCTGTAATAAAAATTCTATAATAAGAGTCATTATCATTTTATAAAGACACATACTAACAATTTTTTTATCATTACAAATAGAATGTACTAAATAAAGAATACATTATTTAAAAAAAATCTGTAATAAAAATTCTATAATAAGAGTCATTATCATAATAAGAGTCATTATAATAATAAAATACTAAACAGCAGTTTTTAACCTAACAGATTCTCGAAGATAACATATCTTGCTGAATAATAGAAATTATAAAAATTGACACCCATATTTACTTGGTTTAAGAAAACATTCTGGTACATCTATATCAACGAGTTTTTTTTGTCACTCATTTCTAATTTGCATTTTACTTTTTTGTTTCAAAATATCTGTTAAAAATGTAATGTTACAGCTATAAAACAGTTAAATTTGACCCGGAGAGGATTTTCTTACCTTAGTAACTCTATATAACATAAGTGTATTAGAATAGGATGTTAAATCTATTCGATAAACTCGAGGTAAAAACTCTTGAAATAAAACTGAATAAAACAGTAGATTATCCTCAATAAATGGATACCTGTAATATAAAATTATATAAGATATCATCTATTAATGTGAGTTTCATGAAGATTACAAATCACTGGGATTTGTGAATGCATAAACATCTTTGAATTTAGTGTTTCCATTGTGCTCTATGTCAACTGTTTAAATCTGTATGTCTGTACTAATTTAAAACAGCTGACACAGCTTTTAAATCTGTATTATCTGTACGAAGCCCAGGTACCTCAGTGAGTAAGACCTTGGCTCGCTGAACTTGAGGTCCTGCGTTTGATCCCTGTATTGACCGATAAAGTTCATTGTGATTTTCCAGCGTGGTTCCCCCTTGTCAGTGGTGTAGGACAACATAAAGTTGTACAGATGGATGAAAAACTGAGGTCCCCGTATACACATTGGCATGCACGTAAAAGAACCCTTGGCAGTTGGAATTCAATATAAGAGTAGGTTGTAGCACTGCTGTCGGGGCAAAATTTCCCTCATAGCACACTGCATGGTGTATGCCTGTTTTCATTAGCCCAGTTGGAGCAGAAAGTTAGACATTAAACCCCCACATCATTTCTGTGCTGTCTATATTTTGTGATGAAGTTTCCCAGCTATATACTTACCATTTATCATCTAGTTTTTTATCATTATCTTGTTCTGGTCTATTTCTATCTTTATTTATAACATGTTTAGGATCTGTATAACGCCATGGTTGTATATAACTTAACCAGATTTCTAATACCTAAAATATAAAGATTTTTTTTATGAGATTCTTGATTCAACTTTTTCACTTTAATGAATTAGACTATATTGGGTTTTTTTTAAAAATCATTAATAAAAAAGAAGATAATTAGAATTATCAATGAGAAAAGATCATCAGAATTATTATTAAATAAAAAAAGATAAATCTGAATTATTTTTTTAAAAAAGATAATCTGAATTATTTTAAAAAAAAAAATCATTTGAATTATTAATAAAAAAGATCATTTGAATGATCATTAATTAGAATTATTTAAAATTGAAAAAAAACCATTAGAATTATTATTAAAAAGATAATTAGAATTATTATTAAAAAGATCATTAGAATCATTATTAATTTAAAAAAGATAATTTGAATTATTAATAAAAAAAGATCATTTGAATTGTAAATAAAAAAGATCATTAGAATTATTAAAAAAAAAGATTATTAGAATTATTATTAATTAGAATTATTTAAAATAAAAAAAGACAGAATTATTCATAAAAAAGATCGCTTGAATTATCAATTATAAAAAAGATCATTTTAATTATTAAAGAAAAAAGATCATTTCAATTATTAAAGAAAAAAGATCGTTAGAATTATGATTAATTTAAAAAATGCCATACTAAAAAAAGAAATACCCAGTACTTACCATTTTAAAAGAGGAATCTAGGGGCCAGTGATCGAAGGCATGTTTTAAGAAAGTGTACAGTTTCTTCTGTAGTATCAGTGGTATAATTGTCCTGTTCACAAAAAGAGATTGTGGAGAACAATAAATACAAAGATAGGTTGCCAGGCAACAAAACATACGCCCACAGCAGCTAAATCGTCCGAGCAGTCGACAAGGGTTGTCACATATTTATTCTTTTGTAGGTAATTAGGGGAATTTAATAGACAATTTCATACAGATGACATTATAATTTCCGTTGTTTGAAGGTTCACAAGGTTCTAAAATCTAAAACAAGGGCCGTAACTCTGGAAGCAATCTACAGAAATTGTTCAAATTCGAAAGGCTTTTTTCGTTTTAATAATTCAAATAATGCATATGAATTTCATACAGATCGGATGATAACTTTTGTTGTTCGAAAGTTCACAAAGTTCAACAAAGTAAATCAAGGGCCATAACTCTAGACGTAATTGATGGAAATTGCTGACATTCAATAGGCTTGTTCGTCTTCATTTCACTAATTTAGGTGATAACTGAAACTCAATAGGCTTATTCGTTTTACTAATTTAAATGATACATATAAATTTCATACAGATCGGATAATAACTTTTGTCGTTAGAGCATTTACAAGGTACAACAAAGTGAAACAAGGGCCATAATTCACGGCATAATTAATGGAAATTGCTAAAATTCAATAGGCTACTTCATTTCACTAATTTAAATGATGCATATCAATTTCAAATAGATCGGATGATAACTGTTGTCATTAGAGCGTTCACAATATTCAACAAAGTGAAACAAGGGCCATAACTCTAGATGTAATTAACGGAAATTGCTGAAATTCAATAGGCTTCTTTGTTTTACTAATTCAAAAAATGCAAATAAATTTCATACAGATCGGTTGATAACTTTTGTCGTTAGAGCGTTCACAAGGTGCAACAAAGTGAAATAAGGGACAAAACTCCAGAAGAAATTAACGGAAATTGCTGAAATTCAATAGGCTTCTTCATTTCACTACTTTAAATGATAATAACTTTTCATTTCACTAATTTAAATGATGCATATCAATTTCATACAGATTGGTTGATAACTTTTGTCATTAGAGCGTTCACAAGATTCAACAAAGTGAAACAAGGGCCATAACTCTAGATGTAATTAACGGATATTGCTGAAATTCAATAGGCTTCTTTGTTTTACTAATTTAAATGATGCATATATATTTCATACAGATCGGTTGATAACTTTTGTCGTTAGAGCGTTCACAAGGTGCAACAAAGTGAAACAAGGGCCATAACTCCAGAAGAAATTAACAGAAGTTATTGAAATTAAATAGGCTTCTTCATCTCACTTATACAAACAACATATATCAATTTCAAAACAATCGGTGATAAATGTAGTCTGTAGAGTGTTCACAAGAAATTGTGGTTGATGGACGGACGGACCGCAGACGGACGGGGGCGACGGCAATATACGACCACATTTCCACAACCTTGATATACCATATTTTTACGCTATTTGAGAACGAACGGCGGCCATTTTGTCTGTCAATTTTGGGCCGAAATTCGAACTCAGCCGTCCTTAGGGTGTAACGGTGATATAATAAAACGTTTTTTTAAATCGGATAAAAGCTAAAAACGCGATTTTTCGTACAATCAGGGGCCATAATTCAGGAAGTTACGGTTCGATATGCGCGAATATCGAAAGGAACCAAGATCTTTGGGTTATAAACTTACATTTCAAGTTTCAACAAAATCGGAAAAAAATTGTGACCTCTATAGTGACCACAACCTTGATATACCATACTTTTACGCTATTTGAGAACGAACGGCGGCCATTTTGTCTGTCAATTTTGGACCGATTTTCACGAAATTCGAACTCAGCCATCCTTAGGGTGTAACGGTGATATAATAAAACGTTTTTTTAAATCGGATAAAAATTATGACCTCTATAGGGTCAACAAGCTAAAAACGCGATTTTTGGTACTATCAGGGGCCATAATTCAGGAAGTTACGGTCCGATATGCGCGAATATCGAAAGGAACCGAGATCTTTGGATTATCAACTTAGATTTCAAGTTTCAACAAAATCGGATAACAATTGTGACCTCTATTTGAGAACGAACGGCGGCCCTTTTGTCTGTCAATTTCGGGCCGATTTTCACGAAATTCAAACTCAGCCATCCTTAGGGTGTAACGGTGATATAATTGAACGCTTTTTTAAATCGGATAAAAATTATGACCTCTATAGGGTCCACAAGCTAAAAACACGATTTTTGGTACAATCAGGGGCCATAATTCAAGAAGTTACGGTCCGATGTGCACGAATATCGAAATGAACGGAGATCTTTGGATTATCAACTTAGATTTCAAGTTTCAACAAAATTGGATAAAAATTGCGACCTCTATAGTGTCCACAACATTGATATACCATATATTTACGCTATTTGAGAACAAACGGCGGCCATTTTGTCTGTCAATTTCGGGCCGATTTTCACGAAGTTCAAACTCAGCCTTCCTTAGGGTATAACGGTGATATACTTGAACGTTTTTTTAAATCGGATAAAAATTATGACCTCTATAGGGTCCACAAGCTAAAAACACGATTTTTGGTACAATCAGGGGCCATAATTCAGGAAGTTACGGTCTGATATGCACGAATATCGAAAGGAACCGAGATCTTTGGATTATCAACTTAGATTTCAAGTTTCAACAAAATCGGATAAAAATTGTGACCTCTGTAGTGTCCACAAGCTAAAAACGTGATTTTTCGTACAAACAGGGGCCATAATCCATGAAGTTTCGATCCGATACATGCCAATATCGAAAGGAACCGAGATCTTTTGGAGATAAACCTATATGTCAAGTTTCGTCAAAATCGGATAAGAATTGTGACCTGTAGAGTGTCCACAAACAAATTGTGGACGGACGGACGTTCGGACGGACAGGGGCGACGGCATAATATGTCCACATGACAATGTGGGCGTATAAAAACAATATTTGAATAATGACTTTGAATATTTCAATAGTAAAATCAGCATTGGGTGTGACACCTAAAAGTTTTATCATTTTATTATATCTTACTTTTTAAATTCATCTAATGCAGATATATTTGTAGTTTGATATGGTAGTTGTGAAGCCGTATTTACAAAATAATGTATATATTTGACTAGAACACGAACTACATTTACATGATTAGCTGTTGGTACAAAATTTTCCTGAAAAATTAACATAAATTTATCAAATTATATTAAAATAAATTCTATATATCATAATATAATCAAATTGTCAAAATACAATTATATAAAATACTAAATATCTAATAGTTTGTTGATCAATAAAATACTACACATGTACTCTATACATGACAAAAACATTTTAAAAATTTGAAATTATGTACATGTATTATTTATAGAAATATCAAAATTATCAGTTGCTTCAGATTCATCCCTAGATCAAAGAATCTTCATTCCATTTACCATTCACCGGTATTAAAATATTGTTCCCAGATCTGAGCCACCACCAACCAGGTATATAAGATTTGTTGAAGAAACTATAAAGGTCATGCACTACATATCGATATTATGAATTTACTACATTTGTACAATTATGTCAATTTACTTCAATTTTAGCAACATTTAGGGTTAATTCAATCTTATTTGTCTTTTTTTTTCATATCATAATAAACTAAACTTACTTTAAAGGGACAATAAACACTCTTGCTGGCTTGACAGCTCCAGAAAATAAAAAATAGCCTTATTCTAAGTACTAGATGTGTTAGTGTCTTACCTGTTGTGTAAATTATCCATTAAATCCTATTTTACTTGTCCAGAGGGTTCAAAAATATTTTTAAATCCAAGTCACATTTGAAAAGCTTTACGTCAGGCTTTTCAAATCATTTAGTTGAATTTTTCCAATTTTTTAAATTAGGTGTGTTAAGATGAAATTTATATCACCAATTAATTGGAATATTGTAAAATAGTACAATTTGTTGACCAGAACAAAGATTTGGACATATTATTCAGTAACAACAAGAGTGGTATTGAGCCTTTAACTTTCACTACTTTCAGTAAATGTCCTAAATGCTGCTAAGATTTACATAAATAATACATAAAGCTATATTAACATAAATTATAGTGCTATAAAATAATACAATGTTGAATAATACCATGCTAATTGTAGCAGTTGAAAAATTTGACTTTATATGGTCAACATTAACAAACTTAGAAACTGAAACCTCAGAAAGGTAAATTAAAAGTCGAGAACTGGTTTAACGCAAATTTATGTTATGAACTAGATAATGGCTAACTGACCACAGTGTCTAAGTTAAAGGCAATATGATGTGCTGTAAAAGTGTAAACTGGTTAAAGATAAAGGCAAATTTGATCACCGTGAAGTAGTTAAATACAAACTGATCACTAAGAACTGGTTAAACACCAATTGATCACTGTGTACTGATTAATGGTAAATTGATCACTAAGAACTGGTTAAACACCAATTGATCACTGTGTACTGGTTAATGGTAAATTGATCGCCGAGAACTGGTTAATGGCAAATTTATTGCCGAGAACTGGTTAAACACAAATTGATCACTGTGGACTGGTTATTGGCAAATTGGACTAGCCAGGACCTCCATTCTGCACCAATGACAAATGGAAACCACACAGGAAAATAATGAGAAACTTCAAAATTTCAACCAACACTGGGATTGAACCCCTGACCTCCTGGCTAGTGAGCCAGTGCCTTACTCACTGAGCCAATGCGGCTAACACCATTAATAATAGCACAAGTCATACAATACAAGAAATATAAATGAAAGGCAGGAGTCCTAACCCCTTATCAATAAAATATTTGGGACATTCTGAGACAGTGACATGTGCAATACTAAGGAAGAGAATTTTGCACAGACAGCGAAATTTCCCTCTACTATTCAACAAATTCAAACTGTCTTCTGTACTGTATCTAGTTTTATACGTATGTATACTAAGAGTCTTTTAAAAACCAAATAAATAAATAGAACAAGACAACTAGACGACACTTTCAGGTAAAATACGGTAAGTGGAAATAACATTTATCTTTTATCACAACATTTAAAGCTAATGAGCAAAATAAGAAATACTTCTAAAAAAATAAAATATCAATTTGATTTCATCTGAAGTTGCATTTCAATTAGGGTAACACCGGTATCTAAATATAGAAAGAACTTGGGAACAATATCCCTTTGATTGAACTTTCTACTATAAAAATAATAGTTTAATATTAAAACATATAAGATGTATTCAAATTGATACAGACTTTTTCAATTAAGTCAAAAGGCTCTTTACATTAAACTAGCTCAACAATACATAAAATTATCAAGCCTCTAATTATATTCGAGATAAGGCCATACAAAGAAATATTCTGGTTCTCAATTACTACTGCATGTTCATATTTCCCACAGTAAAGGGAAGTAACATAATAACATAGTGTACCATAGGCTCAATTATCAAAATAAACTATAAGAATGCAACTGGATAATCTGTAAACTGATACAATTTTATCAGATAATAGCTAGATCTGTTAAGCGTTTTCTTCGTGAAGTAATGAAAGCGAAACAACTGAAACTATACTCCATTGAAATGGGAGAAGGAGAAGCAGCATATTTCACATTAGTGCCACTACAAAATCTGTACCCGAGTTCATACTATGAACTTCATAGACAGTGACAATTAATTACTGCTCGTAAAAGAATCAATTCACAATCGGCTTAGCATACAGTGAATCAGAATTATAAATTATGTCAGTGGTTCCTATAAACAGCATGGATAAACTAATGATGAGATGAAGGTAGAATTTTGAAATGTGATGTTAAGGCTTGACTGAGACCAAGAATCTTTTTGTATGACCTAACTATCTGACCTATGCATCTGTAAAATTAATGAGAATTTGTGGAGAGAGTGATTTTTAACAAATAAAATTGTTTTCAGTTCTGTGAACATTCAGTATAATAACAGTGATGTTCAATGTAGACGTTTAAATAAAGATGCATGCAAACATGCTAGAGTTGACTTTTCTTTATAAACACCAAAATATAGATTAAAATAAAAGTCTTTAATCATACCAACTTAAGACATAAGTATGATGTTATATATAAATTAGTATAGCTCAATCCACAGTATAGACAGTATATAGACAAGAGATAGAGTAGAACACTGTTTGATATCTGAAACATCTAAATGAATACACAAAGCCTGATGTTAGACCAATAAACTGTCAACAGGCATTAGAATTAGAATTGAAGTTTTAAAGCTTTGGGCAGACGAGCGTATTTTTTTATGGCCAATCACAAATGGACACGTGGCAAAAGTCTCGAGAGCGTGCACCACTCTGCAAGTAAATTATGTCAATCACATGACTTGTACAAAATGGCAAATCGCCGATAAAGTAAGATTGCTGTGGGAGCTGCTATATATTTGCTTCTAAAACTCTGGAATCGTGACTTCAAAAGGCAAGGTCAATTATCCTTTATTCATCAGACTCAACGCTACGGCAGTGAAGGCAGCCATTTTGAGGTTGTGATATCAATGATGTCTCCGACTGGCTTATGAAAATGACAATATACACGGGCAGACGAGTGGATATGCCGGCGATCGTAAAATATTTGGCCGATAATATTTAACATGCCGGCGATCAGTTTGACAAATGGTTCGCCGAGCAGAATCGTTGTTCGTTGTCGCTGTGAATGGGCACACAGGCGATTTTTTCTAGCTATTTTAAAAATCAATGCGATCGAGCAAAAAAATACGCTCGTCTGCCCTAGGTATTAGACCACCATTGTAGTTTGTGCCAAATGCTGTTAAGATTGATCCAATGTGATGTTATAGGTATGATTTGGAAATAAATGGCAAATATCCCATAATAAGCAGATATTGCAGTTTATTAACGGCTGACTAGTTTATAAAATGCATGCTATTGAAACAAGCCTCTTAAGTAAAACAGCAGGTAATTCCCTCTTTTAAAACCGACACCCCATGAATTTGTTAAATGTTCAGATATCAAACAATACATTCTATGGACATTGAATTTCTATACTTACATAGAGAAAATAGAAAGGATCTCTATCGTGGCTTGTATTAAGACTATGCAGTGCGTACGATGAAATCTAACAGAAAATCATATTCATTAATATTTTTATCTTGTGCTCGTATTCTCTCTATGATGATTATAGTATATCAAACAGGGTGTACTCAATAATTTTATTTGCATTAACAGCACACATGACATTTCATGATATTTATGAATAGTTAAAGGAGAAAATAACTCACCACTGTTCCTCTAGGAAACCTCTCTCGTTCACTACTGACTGTATTCTGATTCAACCAAAATTCACACCAAACCTAAAACAAAGCTCTCAACAATATATCATGGTACGACAGTTAGCAAGATAGACCTTTAACCACACAGTAAAATGGGTGATGAATCTTTGCATCCTCCAATAAGACACTTTAACAGTCTACAGGCCAACTGTAATATTGTAAAATACTGTGGAGTTTCTACCTCTTCAGGGAAGTGAGCTCATCACAGAATATTCTGTGTGCTAAGCAGTGGTTGAATAATGGCAATAAAAAATAACAATCTGTAGAGAATTTTTGATAGCAAGTATACGATTAGCAGTACTTGGAATGTCTGCTGCAAAATACAGATTATATAAAAAAAACATTGCAAAAATCACAGCATAATTATTTATCAAACATTAACAGACAAAAATTTAATACCTGGAAGAACGTCAGAATGCTCTCAGATTTATTAGAGAGCAATAAACACTTTAAATTATTTAATGATTTTTAATATGTATCCCTGATAAAAAAATTTTTATATGCTTTCATAATGTTAGGATTATTGACTCAAGAGTAAACCAAATCTCCATTTTGTTCTATTTATATATATATGTACCTGTAACATAGTTTCTGATCGCCATGTTTCAGCTTCACTTTGATCCATAACAGGTGACGATGGTGTATGTTGTTTCTGATTGGCTACTGTAAAACTTGATTTAAATAAACCACGAGGTGATTTAAGTGGAGAAACACTTGGAGATGAGTGAGGTGAATGAGACTGTGCATGACTGAAAAATCCAGAATATTCTTATAACACAAACATTGCACAAGCATGACTAAACACCTTTTTTTACACTGGAAAATAAACATTTGGCTGTCCATACTTTACAAGGGGACAATACAATTGTTGTTATGAACAGATGCCCCATCAAGCATTATCATTTAATTTTTGATACTTTGTATTTATGATATTTGAGATAAAAAAATTTGAACAGATACATGTACAATGTATATCTATGTGTCTTTTTAATTCAATGATTTGCAATTCATGTGCAGACAATGACAAAACATGGGTGTACTGCTGCATACATAATATTTTTTGCTTACCTAGAAGATACGTGATAATGAGAAACAGGACTTCTGATTGGAGGAGGAGAGTGTGGCATTGATGGCAGATGTTTTTTATCCAATGGCATAAAGTATGACAAATAGTCATCAATTAGACTAGGGTAGATAAAATCATAAAAATCATGCCATGTACTTCTAGTAAATTTAGGGTTGACCAAGGCATAGGCAAAATGAAACATGTAGAATTCAAACGCACCTGTTATAAGGTTAAGGACAATAATAACTGATTATGAATATATTAAACAGGCATTATGAGAGAGCTAAATCTGCCTATTGCAGGTCTTTCTTTGGGCCTTAAATGTTATATAAATTATCAATTAGACATTTATTAACACAACAAGACCATAATTAGCGCTTGATACCATTGGATGGCTCTAATTTTAAGTACACATCTTGTCAAAACTACAACCACAGATAACATTGCTAAAAATAAAGTAAATCAAATGAAATTTTCAATATATTCATTATACATTATCTATTTTTGAAATATTATATCAAGAATGGCCAGAGCTTTACCTAAATCTTACATAATTCCCCTTTAATAATCTAGAATAATATATTTGAACAGATGTCTTCGAATTATATAGCTTATCTAATCAAAAAACAAAAATCAAAAGAGATAGAGAGAGAAATGGAGTTTAATGTCCACTCAACACAAACTAGGTCATTTTGGGACTAACATATGCTTTAATTTTATTTCAAAAATTCGCTTGCGCATAGGGGTCTTTAGCAGTGGGAGGAAACCGGAGAACCCGGAGAAAACCCAAGAAGTTGGACAGGCGACCCTACTCCTTCTCACGTACAACCGGGGATTCGAAACCACGCCAGTTGACTCAATGACAGGCCTTATGATATAGGACGCTCGTGCTAACCATTCAACCATCCACCCCCCATTAAAAGAGATACACTTAGGTTTTTTATTACAAGGATACTTAAAGCTAGAATAAAACCATGAGGCTGTTGTTGTATTTTGTTGGCATAAAAAGCTGGAATAATTCCCTCCTCTATCATCTGTCTTGTACCACTCTGAAACAAACAATTAAATACAATTGGAAAAACTATTTTTATCACATCAGTTAATATACTACTCGATAGAAATGAATCTGTAGCAGAGAGTAACGTATATTATCAACAATGTTATTTTTTTAGATCCTGGAGAAACTTGCTAGTATAATGAATTGCAGAAAGCAAAAAGCATTTCAAAATTCTACAAATACAAAAGTGACTTGTACATGATTTAAAAATCCTAAAAAGAGAAACCCATTGTTACATATCTATTTTGTTATCCTGTTGCGCAAGCATGGTCTAATAATATACTTACAGGAAGATGGCTAATGCTGAACTCATAAGTATACGGCTCTAACTGTAAGCTGTTGATCAGTTTTAAAAGAGGGCCATCAGGAGACAGAAAATAGCGCAAACTGTCAAATTCTGAATAATATCTATTGCTGACTCTGTCTATATCCCAACCAATCTCTGTACCAAATCCAAATATACCTTCCACTATCATAGGTAATACATTCTTTAATTCCTGGTCAAAAAAAATATAAAAACTTTGAATAAATTATAACCCTCAACAAATTGAAACATATGTGAATTATACTGTTAGCTGTAAGGTCCTACTTCTTTCTGAATGAAAAGCCATTTTTGGTCAAAATTCCCACATCCCGACTTCAGCAATTAAAGCAAAGCAATGTCATGTGTTGGTAAAAATTATCAAAGAGTTTTCATTTCAAAGGGATGCTTACACATAGGTTACCAGAGTACTTACTTTTGTACTTGTAGTTCGAATAATATTTTCAGTTTCATGAATTCTTGATAACAGTGGTTTAGAAAAAGCATTTTGTATCTGTAACTAGAAAAAATAGAAATACATGTGAACAGGGTAGCCTACATGTAGTAGGCCTATTTATATATGCCTGTGTTCCTATGATCAGCGTTGAGTCCTGTTCCTGAGCTTACATGTAAACCTAGATACTCTATAATGCAAGCCTTAAAAGGGGGTGGGGGGAGGTGGCCGATTGGTTAGTGTGTGCGCATTGTATCATAAAGTCTGTCAATGAGTCAACTGGTGCTTAGTCCATTCTACATGTTTTTTAAATTATTATTTTGTCGTTTGTGACTAAGCCATTATTAATAACTTTCACATTGTCTTGTAGAATATGGGTTTTTATGTTCATTAGAAATGGCGCCCGAAACCAAACATAACAGTTATTTCGCCAAACATAACTGATTTGAAATTACAGTTAAAACAGAAACAATAAAATTTAAATCAGTTTATATACATTTATATTACATTATTATATGCGTTGTGACCCATTTGTGTCAATTTCTAGGTCCCAAATATTAACGATTTAGCTCCTTTAAATATTTAACAACATCAATATTGACTGATATCGACAAATATTTAATCCTTATTAATAGCATAGGCCTATTACTATTCATGTTTTTAATTTTTAATTTCGAATATTATTATTGTTGTGATTTTGCTCTGTGTAATACAGGTGTCCGTTAGGATAATCGGGACTACTTCCACCTATCCACGGAGTCCCGTGCTACCAGCGGGATTTAACCTATATATTGCTGTTTTGCCGTGGCTACGGCTCAGATTATGTTTAGACTCAAAATAGGTAACATTGTTAGTTTATGCGGACGCCTTACATGCCAAGCGGGGCTTGGATAAATACACTCGACACTACATTAATATGGAAAATACTGAGTTACAGGTTTAACTCCTTTAATCAAGCCCTGTCATGGTTTAATGAAACCACTTCCAGTACAGTGAACGAGGGTTGGTTAACAGAGATCCTGCAAATTATTTAATTATTAATATTATTATTATTGAAAAATTGAAATCAAAAAATCAAGTGCTTAAAAAAAAAACATGTGCTAACTCTGGCCAAGACAAGAAATAAATCAGATCATATTACGATCACAGAAAAAATATCAAGCAGAGGTCAAAATCAAATCTTAAAATTCACATTTTAGTAAAGTTAGTCTAATTAATATCAAAAAATTATTAAACCTGAACAGATGAAAGATTTGTTCCACCAAATACCGCCATGTTTGAATAGATGTAAAAAATAATGACGAAGCGGATAATGGAATGGAATTTGGTCATTTATAATTTCATTCTTTATAAGATCGATCAATTTAAAAATAAATAAAAAAAACATTTAATTGGCTGTTCAAAAGCATAATTTATAACTTGAACGTTGTATTTTAATATTCACTTGGAATTAATTAGAAATTGGAACAACAAAACATTTCTTATTTCATAAACCAATCCGTAAAATGACTACTTTTATATTGCGGGTTGTTTCGCTCCTAAGTATTTATTCTCAGTTATTTCGTCCAATAACAAGTCTAATAAATAAGACTTTCACGCACCTTTCAGCGTATACATAGGAAGATAACAGAACTGTTTTACAACACAAAGAAACGTGTTTCCAATGAATAAAAATCAGGAAGGTACTCCTAGCTAAAATAAACTAATTATTGACCCATGTAATTTATATAATATCGGATTAAAATAAACAGTTATTTTATACGCACTATATTATTCCATGCAGATAAATCAAATAAAATACAATTTAAGTCAAAACGAACGCCAACAGCAACTAGATACACAACAGTATAGTTACATTATATTAGATTAGATAGGAAAGCAGAACTTTTAAAACTACACAAGGACCTACAATGCATTCAATTATGAAATTAATTGAATTGAAACGGGGTTTTACATCTTAATATTCTGCTCCGACTGGGCTAACAAAGACGGCATACGCCATACAGTGTGCTATGAGGGAATTTTTGCCTGGACACCGGCGCTACGGCCTACTCTTATCTCGAATTCAAACTGCCAGGGGATATTTTACGTGCACGCTAATGTGTACACGGGTCCTCTGTTTTGCGTCCCATCCGAACGACTAGACAGCTGTCCTTTTCAGCCCCCCCCCCCTCGTCCTGCACCAATGAACTTTCTCGACTAACACCGGGATCGAACCCGCGACCTCCAGGCTAGCGAGCCAGCGTCTTACTCACTTAGCCACCGTAACACCCACATTCCCAGGATTAAGGAATTACATGAACCTAGAAACATTCCAAACTAAGTATTCCAAAGGCAATATGTTGTTACGCAGAACATCCTACGATTCCTGGTTTCAGTTGTGTAAATTCGCTTGGAATATCTAATTGTGCTTGTATTATTGAATTGTTTTGTCTTTATGCCGCCTCCCCACGTCGTCTATGAGAAAGATTAGCCCCATACAAAGGACTAGTTCTATGGTGCTAAGCAAATACATAGCACAAGAATGGGAATAAATTTGTTTGCTAGATAACCCGGCCTGAAAAATCGTTGTAGGAAGTCAACACCAAATATGCATGCTCTAGAATATCAAAAATACCCATCAAATATAGCAGATAAATCCCAGACTGGAGAATTGCACACGACAAAACCTACCCGTGTGAACCAATTTTATGTTATTTGTCTCTATAAGAAGCAAAATATATACACATAAACAATAAATATAAAGATGGCAGAAACCTATAGCAGGCGGTAAGGTTAACGAACATTTTGAAACAGCAACTTCCTTTATTATATCGTTTATTTGTATTTTAAGAACAAAAACGACAACAACGATAGAAAATGATTCCCTACAAAGCTGAACTCGACATTGCATAATTATGTGCATATTTCCGACACGATGACTTGGTTATTCAATTACGATTTTATTTAAAGAAATAAGACAGCGATATTTTTACCTATAATATGGAATGTTTGATAAAATAATAATAAAAAAAAACCATCATGGGATTCCAAATGAAAAAGAGAATAAAACATTCGTGAGAAAAAAAAGAATCACACAATTTAGTTTCATATACGACAATTCAATAGGTAAATTTATTAATTATAAAGGCGTCAAACACTCCCCATGATTGGCATTCTTCATAATCATTTGACCATAAATCTCCATTCAACTTATAAACAAACACTGCTTGTCAATAAGGCACTATATACATCGCAGTCAATGATGCAAATAGTGATTCTTTTGACTGAAATATCGATTCATAATGGCAATAAGCAAAATTATATCCAGGTAATTTTTGAAAAACGTATTTTCTTATACATATCCATATGATAGTTCAAATGGAAAATGGTACTTCAGAAGGTGTGTGAATTGCTAACTTTGTGGAGGCCAACTAGTATAATCAATTTGGGGTGTGGCTATAAAATGAACTAATCGTAGTATATTTGGTATCTTACCTTCAAAAAATAACTTTTACTCAAATAATAATGATAATAAAAAGTACATACATTTCAATCAATCTTTACTTGCTAAAACTGAACAAGAAAACGAATAATTTTCAAAGTAAGATTACGATTTTTTAAAGATACATTATGGGAGATCGTGTAAAGAGTTGGTAAAAACTAAATAATGTAAAGGGAATTTGCTGAAAGTTTCAGTCAAATTGATCCACTCTGAACCGAGAATTTAGATACTGAATTTTGCGCCTAGCCCCGATCATCATTATAAAAGTCGGTAGATAAAAAAACATAGTCTCGATTATCCATTTCTTGATTTAATCACGAATGGGCGTTGAGCATCAGATCGGATCCAAATCCAGTTAATATCGCAAGCTAGCTATGACATCGAGTGTTGATTATGGTCTGGATAAGTTAATTAATGTCTAATTAATAATTTAGATAATATTTCATACCTAAAGAAAGACCTGCAATAGGCAGATTTGGCTCTTGCATAATGTATGTTTAAAGATACATTATGGGGGATTAGATAAAGAGCTGACAGTTCGCACTTTAATAGTTAAAAACTAAATAATGTAAAGGGAATTTGCTGACAATTTCAGTCAAATTGGTCCACTCTGAACCGAGATTTTAGCGATTGAATTTTCGGCCTAGCCTCGATCATCATTACTAAAGTCAGTATGATAAAAACATATTCTCGATTATCCATTTCATGATTAAATGATGAATGGAAGTCAAACAGCAAATCGGAACCTAATCCAATGAACATCGCAGGCTAGCGATGCCATCGAGAGTTTATTATTGTCTGGATAATAATTTAGATAACATTTCAGGCCTAAAGAAAGACCTGCAATAGGCAGATTTAGCTCTTGAATAATGTATGTTTAATAGAGCTAATTTCGTTAACATGACTTAAAAGAGATGATCTGAATAGCTATAAGATATTGCGTGCACATTGGTGAGGTCACGTTTGGTGTTAATTGGCGTTAATTATTGAAGCATTTCAGTTTTATCTTTTTATTAAATTTTACAATAAAAATTTGATCTAATGTCGACTTCGACAGACATACAGTATGTCATATGTGTGTGAACACCCATTTTCTATTATTATCTAGTGTAAAATAAATATTCCATAATGAAAAAAAAAATTAAACATCACCAACATGAAAATAGAAACCTAAGACGTAAATAGCCCCAACATGAAATGTGATCTCAGCCAATGTCGAAAAACTATGGAATTGTGAAATTGTCGTTGAAATTAATGTGAAAATTGACAAAATGGAAGAATATGATTAGATAAATGATAAAAGATATCCTCTAATTTGAAAATTGTATTAAATCTTTGTTATTTTTATTGATTCATGCTTCCGTTTGGCATGAGTTCTTAACTGCACTGTTGGATACATAGTCGAATAATGTGATTGGATCTTGTGGTAATATTTTCGTATATATACTTTCGACATCACACGTGTTACTTGTGTTCTGTATACGTGACTATGTCACGAAGTCGGCATCTCTAGACTACAAAAAATAACAATATTCAAATTATATATAGATAGGTATCAGAGACAAATAGTTTCTTTCATTTATATAGCTTGGATATTATAAATGAATCAGTTGGCACTAATTCAGGTGCAGTTTGTACTCTTCTTTTTGTATATTGGCCGGGTGCACAATGTGGAATGAAATAAAATGAAATAAAATGGGGTTTAACGCCCTACTTTTCTGCTCCGACTAGGATAGTGAAGATGTGCATAGGCCTATGCCATACAGTGTGCTATGAATGACATTTTGCCCGGAAAGCGGCACTGCGGCCTACTCATTTCTTGTTCCAACTGTCAAGGGGTCTTTTAAGTGTACACCAATGTGTACACGGAACTTCGGGTTTTCATACAATCCGAACGACTATACATTGCCCCTTGCCATCATCACGCCGGAAAATTGCCGATGAAATTTCTCGGCCAACACCGGGATCGAACACGTGACCTGCAGGTCAGCTAGTCAACGTCTTACTTACTGAGCCACCGTGGTTCCAAGTGCACAATTTAAAAACATCTAATTTACTTCCATTTGAAACAGAATATTTCATTTATAGGGTCAGTCGGCCTAAATAAATGTCAGGTACAGAAACCATACACAATCAAAACACATTAGAATAGATCACACCTAACGTATGTTATAGCCATTTGAAGTTTACATTAGTTTTTCTTGATATCATACTACCATGTTTATGTGTTTGTAAGGATTAAAAAATATATATTATTATTCCGAGAAACTTTAATTAAAATATCACTCTGTGGGCCTTATTTTTCTGGTATTTAAAAAAAATAGGTTTTGTCCATTTCGTCGACGAAAAGAAACGGGCTAATGAAGACGAGCATGAACCATGCTCGGACAGTAACGCTACGGTCAAAGATAATTTCAAGGGTTCTTTTACGTTCACGCCAAAGTGTACGCAGGACCTCGGTTTTTCGTTCCATTCCGGAAAATCTAGAGATACTACTTTCTCGCCTAACACTCAGGACTTCCAGTTCAGCGAGCCAGACCCAGCTCCTAGAATTAGCGACGCACGTTTGAAGTAAAATCTAAAAATGTTGCTTGAATTATAAATGGATTTATGATTTACCCTAGGTCTAAAGCATACAGGGTTCAGGTATAAAATATATTAAATTTAATATTTACAAATTAATTAGATCTGTAAAAGCATATTTCCGTGGAATAGCTTAAAGCAATAGGTGAAGACTGTCGCCTAATTGTATATAAAAGTAAAAAGACTTTTAGACATGTAAATAGGTTTAAAGAGATCGTCTGTATGATAATAGTAGCAAACTTAGTCTTGAATACTAATTACTGTTATTTCTTGTTATATGTATTTCTTATCCAGTGCA